TGCAGTTTGTGAACCTATTTTGTTAATTTAACTCTCTATATTCGCTGTATTTTTTTAATTTTTTAGCAAGTGGTACTTCATCTGTTCATTTAACTGGAATGCTCTTGTCACCATAAATATAAAAATTTTTAGAACATACAACCTATAAGCAACCCGTGTAAAGAGAATTTCCATTTATAAATAGTGCAGTTTGTCTACCTATTTTGTTAATTTTTCTATATATTTTCACTGTATTTTTTACATTTTTTGAGCAACTCCTAATTCATATGTTCACTTAACTAAACATACTGYTCTTGTTACCATAAATAGAAAGATGTAAAGAACATCCAGCCCAAAAGCGTCCAGTGTAAAGAGAATTKGCATTAATAAGTAGTGTAGTTTRTCTACCTACTTTGTTAATCTGACTCTATTTTTACTGTATTTTTTACATTTTTTTAGCAAGTCCTCCTTCAGATAGATGTTCACTTAACTAAACATACTGCTTTTGCTACTATAAATAGAACAAAATTAAAGAAAATCCAGCCCCAAAGCAGCCAGTATAAAGAGAATTTGCATTAATAAATAGTGCAGTTTGTGTACCTATTTTGTTAATTTAACTCTCTACATTCGCTGTATTATTTAAATTTTTTAGCAAGTGGTACTTCATCTGTTCATTTAACTAGAATGCTCTTGTCACCATAAATAGAAAAATTTTGAGAACCTACAACCTAAAAGCAACCAGTGTAAAGAGAATTTCCATTTATAAATAGTGCAGTTTGTCTACCTATTTTGTTAATTTTTCTATATATTTTCACTGTATTTTTTACATTTTTTTAGCAACTCCTACTTCAGACGTTCACTTAACTAAACATACTGCTCTTGTGACCATAAATAGAAAAATTTAAAGAACATCCAGCCCAAAAGCATCCAGGGTAAAGATAATTTGTATTAATTAATAGTTCAGTTTTTCTACCTATTTAGTTAATTTGTCCTATTTTCACTGTATTTTTCACATTTTGCAACTCCTACTCCAACTGTTCATTTAACTAGAATGCTCTTGTTACCATAAATAGAAAAATTTATTGAACATATACGCCCAAAAGCAAGCAGTGGAGTTTTTAAATTGTGGAGTTAATAAATAGGCAGTGCAGAACACTTAACTCTTAAAAAGAATCTTTTTCTGCGTATGTCTGTCTATTTGCAACTCCGACTCTCTGGTTACATTAAATAAAAGTAAAATTTAATTGTTAAAAATAACATTATTGTTTTTTTTTTACATTTTTTTAGGACATTCAAATGTTAGTTTAATACTACATATTTTTAATATTATGATATTCTTATCTTTCCTGGGTCTCAGTCAAAGTGTGAAGTAAAAATTTTTAACATCGTTTATTTCATTACGTTTCGGCGAGACAACAGCGCCATCATCAGATTTAACATTTACACAAACTACAAACACCAATTCACAATTAAAACATGTTGTATAAAAACTATAATTTTTAAAGTTTTGAAACATTCATCAGTTTTTGAGGGAAAAATCCTTTCTTTTGGGAGAGGAAAACACCGGAAAAACTTACCTCATGATTCGTTGAAGGTTGAACGTTCTTTTAGGTCTTTGCCTTCTTAAAACCTTCAATTTGTCTGAATTATTTTCTACATTGCACTTGAAATAATTCAAAAAAAAATATTGTGAATTGGTGTTTGTAGTTTGTGTAAATTTTAAATCTCATGACGGCGCTGTTGTCTCGCCAAAACGTAATCAAATAAACGATGTTCAAAATTTTTACTTTACACTTTGACTAAAACCCAGGAAAGATAAGAATATCACAACAAGTACAGGCAGTCAGGAAAATAAATCAGAATTATTTTTAATATAATAAAATATTTAAGAACTGTGAGTTCAAAATAAATACATTTTCTTTTTCTCATTTTGTCTCGTTTTTTTTAACTAAAACTTCCTAAAACTAGAACTAAAACTTCCGCCAATCTAATGCAACCAAAATGTCCTAAATTTAATCTCTACTTCTTAAGGAAAGACGAATGTAAAACATGATTAAAATATTCTGAAAATACAAGCAAAATTTGAATCTTAATTTATACATTTTTACTTTAATATCATTTGATTTATTACATTTTTGGCAGGAAAATTTAATTTCAGTTTTAAGAAAGTTAAAGATTATAGTAATACATATTTAAATTAAGGAACCTTGATACCGATTATATAGCCATTTAGCGTTTATACTTAATTTTCATTTATAAGTACATTGTTGTTGTTACTATATTATTTGACACTCACTTTATAAATTGTATTAATTAAAAATTGATTTTAATTCCAACTTATTTAATTTTAAATACCTTTCGACACAGCCAAAAAAGCCGTTCGTTTTTCACGCGTTTATGCATGAACAATCACTCAACAAACCTTCAAATATACTGTTTTTGTTACCATGAACAGTTATTTCTGCAGTATGAAGGATGAGTCCCGAATTAGGCAATTTGTTAATTAAATTATAATAATTCAATTTGAATATGGATTGGTTAAGAAATGAAGCCC